ACAGATTTTGATGCCGAGTTGTGTATTACAAAAATTATAGCCAAAGTAAAAAGTAAAATAAAAAAAAATACTTTGTCGAGCTACTTTCGAAAGACTTTTATTGAGCGTTCAGATATTTCATTGGAAGATTTTTAAAACTTTATTGTCTATGTATGAATTTATTAGTTAATTTAGTTCATAAAGTACTTTATTTAAAAACGTCAATAAATAAATAAATTTCGTGCATTAACCCGTTAAAACTTTTTACTAACTTTTTATTTAATGGGTGATGTGCGTGAAAACCTAAGAAACAAATATCAAAAAACAAGATACGTAGCCCGATAATTTATTGCGATAGAACTAAATTCGAATTTCCAACGTTGGCATTTAGTACTGTAACGGCAGTAGCGTTACGGCCTCCTTGTTTGTATAAACTCTTTACCTATGTAATGCCCACAGCTGGTAGTTGTATTAAAAAGTAAATTCATTATTTTAAAGATTCGAAACTAAAGACGAGGCTGTATGGGCTTTAGTTCCCCTTGCCTTCCCTAAAAAGGGAGAATATTAAAAAAAAATGAATCGAATATTCTAACCTAATATTCTAATATTCTAACCTTCTGTCTCATATCGAATATTCTGGGAGAATTCAGGCACAGATTCGGTCGGTTGATAGAACGATTATTGTATTATCTCAGAATTCGAATAAACAAAGTAAAACATCTCAAGTATTATCATTTATAATTATTGCAAGCTACGTCCCCAGGGCTTCCCTTCAGGATAAGCCTAGTGTGAGAGTAGAGTTACACTAATAAATACCCTTACGGGGGTCGAACCCAGGACGTTCGGTAGGATCCTTATCATTAAGGTGTCCAAGGAAAGAAAATGCACTTCATTTGTATATTTAATTTATTGAATACGGTAGAAATGTTTCGTAGTAATTAATGGAAAACAAATTTAACAAACAGACGGATCTAGGAACATATACCGACCGTGGCACAACATAATGTACTTGATACAACACATACTTACTATGTGTTTCGATTAAAAGAAACATAAGTAAACAAACATATTTAAACATATATATTTTACTGAATACTGAATAAATACATGTGAGGAGCGACTTCAATATTATAACAACCATTCTTTGTAATACATATAACATTTCGCTATATTGAAATCGTCCCTGTATGTAATTCTTTAGTTTTATTTCAATAGTTTCTTAAAGCTCCCATAATGTTATTCAATAGCTTGTCAGTTTAATAGCAAATATTAAAAAAAAAAAAAAAAAAATCTTAGGTTCAGGCCAATGGTTTCATCACAAACATTTTAAAAACCATGTGCCATAGACAAAATTATTTTTTCCGTATATCAAGTACTGTATGTTACCCACGGTATATATTTGGCTCTCTCCTGAAGCCTGAATATAATTCTCTTTATATATATAGATATAATATAAATTACATTTTTACCCAATGTGGATGCCAAAAGCTATTGTTTTTTTTTCATTTCTTCATTTTGATTTCACTTAAACAATACATTTTAATAATATTAAAAAGTGATTTGTACTATTTATCCTTATATTTAAATCTCTCTGTACTCAATGCATTTTGTATATTTAATATATTTATTTCATTATTTATTAAGAATTACGTATTATTTTCCTTGTTACCTAGGCTAGTCGAGGTCCACATTGGTTAAATATTATGAAATAATTTGACTAGAAATAACATAGTTTCACATAAAGTCATGACTCGATTATCATACAGTCGCACTGAAATAAAAAATATAGTAACTATTCAACTATTTCTTGGACTAGAATACTTTGAATTAAATTAGACTAGGTATTTTTGTAGTAATAATACATAAGTTGTAGTATTTAATACATTATATAAAATTAAAATTGTACGTAAATATTATGATAAAAACTGACACAATTTAGTTTATGGAATGTTAGCAAGTCTTAAAATATCATAAATTCTATTTTGAGATCAGTAGTGCTCTTCTATAAAATTATCACCCGCGGATCCGCATCGGATCCTCGCGTTTCCCATATAAATTCGGGCGGATCCACATCGGATCCTCGCGTGAAATTTTTACAGAATAGCACAGCTGTTTACAGAAAATAAAACTGTGGTAAAGTGGTAACATCGATTTCGGTGTTAAATATAGTTTACAAACAAATAATTTTAAAATACAATAACATTTTACGGCGTTTTCATAAAAATGATCAGTTTTGTATGGAACACATAGATTTATCATACTATTAATGAGATAGGTGCAAAGATCCTATTTATGCGTATAGTTAAATATCAAGATAAATACATGAAGTAGTTTAAGCCAAAGCAATACATATAATTATGATAACATTTAAATATATATATTAGATTACACAGTCTTTGGATTCGGAACTGTCTAAAACTAGTTAAGTATTACAGGAACTGTAAGCGTACTGTACTCAATTATATAAAAATTTCATCTCTTAAAAGAACCTAACTCTTATTAGAATAAGGTGCGACTGTATTTCACCTGCTTGCAAGCATTGTACCAGAGGGAGATGATCCTGTGGCATTGTTTAAACACATCATTTTACTTCCAACTACACTTATAAATAATTTGTACTGCAAATGTTATTATTTCATCAAACACAGAACGCCTCTCGCACTTGGCTATATATATTTGTACTATTGGTTCGTTTGGTCTAACACAATCCGCCCTGATACAATGCGTCTATGGGAAATGATTCTGAACACAATTCTTCAATATGTCCCACTACATTCACGAGCGCCGTTACACCGTCGTGGCTCAGATTCTGAAAATTGTAAAAATCTAGGCATTCTCCCTTCATAGATGTGGTTCAAACGCCACCAAACGCGTACAGGAATGTGAGCACCGACGTACGTAGGCATCTTTTACCACGCATACAATTTTTATTAATTTTCGTTATTATTTAAAACGTTATTAATATAATTTGTTGTATCGCGCGCGAGCGTCTCGGCTCCCCTCGGGTGCGGGCGTTTGGCTGTACTCGTCGGAAGACCAAAGGAAGATGGCTCAAGATCGAATGATTCGATATCACTATTGTAATAAACAACAAAGTCTCGAACATTCCCAACTGCATTATCACTTTTGAGTAGTTCTGGAAGTATCGTATTAGGAACTTTAATTTTATTACTCGAATCTGTTTCAACTCCCGTAACAACATCGACAATCAAACAAATTATTGTTTCGCTGGAACGCATGAACTGTTTCCAACTTCATCAGTATAATCAAGTATTCTTACAACAGTAGAGACTACAGTATCGAAAGCTTTACCCTGATTCACAATCACAATATCATTATTAAAATCAGGTTTAAGCCTATTTATGTCCCGTGGGGAGCCGTTCCGCTGGCGACCTCTAGTTTTAATTAAAATTACAACTTACGTACATACATAGGAACTTTCTTTCGAAGCTGCATGGTTTGTACAAGCTAACCTCCACACTGATCTACCGATTAATGAATTATAAACAAACATTGTTACTATACCCATCAAATTAATCTTGATTAACAAGATAATAATATATCCACGACTAGAAATTGCCTCACTCATCTCTACTGTGCTAACGGTGATCAATTCAGTCTTTACTTAATGGTGTTCTCGATTTGTTTCTAAGATTTCATTTGCACCTTGAAGATTATGTAATTTTACAATTAAATATCGAACTACAACATTTTGATGTCACAATCGATCCCCGACCGTTTTCACTTTGATTGTAATAATTGTGTGTTTCTTGAACACTATATTTTAATAATTCATTTTACGCGGTTTATTAATAGCCGGGTCGTTTGTGACTGATTGGATACCGTTAAATGGTTCATTACATATTTTATTGGATATTACTTGTGAAGTTTATATATTTTCAGCAGTGTTATGTAAATTGTGATCAATGTAATCAAATCAAACAATTTTTTACGCATTGTTTAACTAACTAAATTGATTTAATTTCTCTACTTACTGTAGTTTCTGTATACCTATTTTAGTATTAAATTAAACACTGATGCTGTTACAACTTATATATAATTTAACAGCGATGGTTGCAGAGAATAGTATTACTAAATCAACTAGTGAGACTGCTGGGGTTTCATTACCACATTAGAGATGAATAAGACGCACAACGGCAGTAACACATTATGTTATTGATTACAATACAAATAAATGTGAATTGTAAGCCCGGCCGGCGACGGGGCGAAGAGCTGAGCTCAAACGCCCCAAAACAATGACCCGTATATTGCGTGTAAACAACTAAACTAAACCGCCGGGCCGGGCCACCTGACCACGTATCTAATCAAATTTAATACTAAAATTACCTTTAATGTTGATCACTGCCCAATAGTACGTATTTTTGTGCTTTGTGTCACTCGTAGCCAACAATAAATAGTATCCGAGTGACGCGCCGGGCTCCGTCCGGCGTTCTAACGCAGTAACTATATTTGTACTTCATCGTAACTCCAAAATATAATTTAATACATTAACAGCTAATAAAACCTAAGGTGAGGTAGATGGGTCGGCGTACACACGCGGGCCGCGCCGCCTGCGCCGCGCCGGGGTCCGGTGCACGCGGTGTACGCGGTGCGCGCGCTCAGTGATCAACATCGCGCCCGCCGCGAGCGCTCGCACACATAATACGTTAAATAATCATTACTACTAGGGTGTATTTCTTCTCCCGATCGAAATCGACGTTTCAAAAACTCGTCTCGGACCCGACGGAACATCGAGGAGATAATAATTAAATAAATCGAATTCATAAGCGGCAACGTTTCATATATTATCACCCGTCAAATATAATTCTCGATATATGAAGTTAGACTCTGACAAAAAAAAAGAAAGCCGGGGCCCGCCGCCGGTGTGTCGCGCGGGCGGGGGGCGGACAGCTCCGATTTTATAATTACGTCTTTTTATTTTTTCAGCAATCGCTTGAAGGCACACAGCGTTAAATGTAGTCAGTATAGTTCAGCGATGCGGTCGCGGCCGCGGGACGGCGCTAGGCCGGCGTGAGCGTGAGCGTGACGGTGGCGCGGCGCGTGGCGCGGCGCCGCACCGGCAGGAACACCAGCGCCGGCACCAGGCTCAGCGCGCCGCCCGCCTCCTCCACCACGAACGGCTGCATCGTGAGCGGCGCGTGCGGCGCGCGCGGCACCGCCAGCAGCGCGCCCGCCCCGCCGTGCACCGCGCGCACGTGCGCCTCCAGCGCGCCGAACCCCTCCGCGCGGAACTCGCAGCGCGAGCACGTGTACTGCCCGTCCTCCTCCGCGACGCCCGGCGACCCGCCCTCCGCGCCCCGCGCCCGCTCCCGCCCCGGCGACCCGGACCCGGGCCCGGGCCCCGCCGGCTCCCCGTCGCCCGCCTCCTGCTCGCCCGCCTGCTGCTGCTGCGCGTGCGCGCGCTCGTGCGCGAACAGGAACGCGAGCACGTCGGTGGTGAAGGGGCAGTAGGAGCAGGCGTAGGGCTTGTCCCTGGCGAGCAGGTCGAGCGGGCGCGGCGGCGGCGGCGGCGGGCGCGCGGGCGGCGCGTGCTCGGCCAGCAGGTGCGCGCGCAGGGCTCGCGGCCCGCGGAACCGGCGCGCGCACAGCGGGCACGGCTCCGCGGGCGCGGCCGCCGGCGCGGGCGGCGCGGGGATGCCGTGCGTGTTGTGCTTGTGCACGCGCAGGAAGTATTTGCTGCACAGCTCCTTGTGGCATATGTCGCACGTGACGCCGCCGAGCTGCGTGCCGCTCTCGAGCGAGATGCCGTGCATCCTCTGCATGTGCGTCCTCATGAAATACTTGTTGCACAGCTCCTTGTTGCAGATTTCGCAGAAACTCGACCCCGAGGAGGAGGCGCGGCGCTCGTCCGGCGGCGGGGGCGACGCCGAGGGCGGTCGCGGGCCCAGATCGGGCTCGTCCGCGAGGCGCTCGGCCGCCAGCTCGTTCAGTTGCGATATCATCGTCTGTAGTTTCCGCAGCTCCTCGCTGGCCGACCCCGGGGATGCGGCGCCGCGCTCTTCCACGATGAGGTTCAGCGGACTCGTCTGTCCGTCTCGCAGCGCCGCTTCCAGTTCGTCTTCGCACTCCCGTTTTACTTCCGCCATCTCCTCGGCGTCGAACGGTGGGGGGAGCGAATGTGAACGCGGCGGTGTGTCTGCAGCGCTAATAGGTGGGGCGGGCGGCGTCGCTAGCGGCGTCGGCAGCGGAGTCCCGAGTGGTGTGCCTAGAGGCGTCCCGAGCATCGTCGGCGGGGTGGCGGACGGCGGTGATCTGTCCGCGATCGGTGACCGATGCGCCGGAACTCCGTGCCTCCGTTCCCTATGCGTCCGCAGAAAGTATTTATTGCAGTACTCTTTGCAACATATCTCGCAGAACGCTTCGGGATTGACGACACCGAGCCGCCGCAAAACCTCCGGTTGAAATCCGGCTTCTCTAGCGCGCCGTGCGGAGTCCGGCGATAGTCTCCTCGGAGTGCCCCCTGATTCTTCGTCGGAAGCTCGTCTCGGCGGCGAGGGTTGCGCAGGTGGCGGAGCAGCGGGTTGCGGATCGCCCCCATCGTAGATTCCGTGCTTGTTCGCTCGATGGGTCTTCAGAAAGTATTTGTTGCAGAACTCCTTGCAGCACAGGTCGCAGTACGCTTCCGGGTTGAAGATGCGCGGTGGTTCGTGTCGGGGGAGGAGTCGGAAGGCGGCGAGGGGGTCGAAGGTGGGCAGGGCGAGTTCCCCGAAGGCGAGCGCGCTCTTGTAGATGTCGGCCATCTTGGCGTGCAGGTCGAGCGGCGCGGGCGGCAGCGGCGGCGGCGCGCGGCTGGGGGCGGCCTGCTTGCGCCGCTTGCGCCCGGGGCTGCCGCCGCCGCTGTCCAGCTCAACCTCGCGCTTCACCGCCGGCGCTACTGACATCGCGTCACCGCCGCATCTGGAATTCAAGAGAGAAACACACGTTTATTTCTGTTGATGAAACTCCTTAACTTGAATTATATAAGTACGACTAGATATAGAGCAATCCGAATAAACCACGCAAAGAAAACGGCTCATGTTACGCACAATGTGTGCGTGACTCTTAAGTCAGATTAAAGCAGTCAGTGTGTAGCGATGAGCGTATCTACCATGTATGTAGTAGATATTTTTTTGGTCGCTTCCGGGAACTTATTACGGTATGTATATAATCAAATCTTAAATAATTAAATAAAACATTTTAGGGGGTTTTATTATTTCACAAAATTCCCGAAATTTCGGATCCTTTACAGGTTCCGTGAGAAAGTTTTTAGTTTAGTTTAGTTTTTAAAAAGAAATATGCTTAAGAAAAGAAGTTTCACTTCAGACACTAATATTTTTGAAATTTATTTGGAAGTAGTTAAGCCTCCCTGCCCATAGGTGCGTTATTATATATCGATAATTTCGGATGCGTTATTGCGATATTTCGACATTTAACTTTTATTGCGTCTTTATTATCGCAACAGTGTTTAGTTTAACTTCATAGCCGTTATTATACATAATGTACAAAAAACTAATATAACAAAAACGCATCTGATTTTATCGACCAATAATAGCGTGCCTTAATATGCTTGAAAAAAAGAATAAAATTTGTGCCAGGATCATAGAGTATAGACAGACTCCTTGCTGTCCCTAACGCTGTTTTTATTTTCAACATAGTCAAAAAACTTATCCGTATTTTCATCTTAATTTAAGGCCCCTATTGAAAGGTCGCTCTCAGCTGTAAGAGCGGTCTTGAGTAAGATCTTGAGATGCTGTTTTGTATGAAAACAGTAACTCAAGATGTCGTATTCACAGAGCTGAGAGCGATTCTTTAATACCGGCCTTAGTGTAGTGTAGGCAATAGAGGTACATTCCTAAACTGACTTATTTAAAGAAAATTAAATAAGAAAAAGACCAGACCAACCTAGGCTGGAATCTAACTTTTTGAAGCCTTAAACGGGGCGATTCGAATTTCTTCAAGTTTGCTCGTTGCTTCGTTCTACAATTTCATTAACAACAACAATAGGGGTGATAATGGAGTACACTAAACAAAATTCTATTTTGTCCGTCAGTTAGATGATCAAAAAATAATTTACACGTATTTTTTCTTTGGGCAATCAACCAAAAAATGACAAAGTTATAGCGCGTCAAAGTTTGGGAGTAGGGGCTCGTGACGTTACTTTTAAGTGAAAATTGTACCAAAACGTGACGTCATGCGACTTTTCAAATCAATATATCTCTGCAATGTTTATATTATGTGAAAAAAGAAAAAATACGTGTCCAATACTTTTTGATAATCTACCCGATAAACGAAGAAAAAAAATGAGTCATTATCCCTATTGAGCCATTTCTTTAGACTGGAGATTGTTTAGCACAAAGTTGAAAGATATAGTTTCAAAAGTATTTTCTTTTTATTAAACATTGACTAACTCCCTCGATTCCCACATTCTTAAATATTTTTCATTACTATCTACTAAAGAAGAATTTCTATTCACTTATTCCTATCTCAGTAGAGCTTTCAAACAATATAAGTAAATAAATAAATATTTCCAACGCTCACACCAATTAGCCTAGCCCCAAAGTAAGCACTGTAAGGCTTGTGTTATGGGATACTAGGGTAACGGATATAATACATATATATTGTACATATATAAGTATATTTATATAGAAATACATATTAAACATCCATTACTGGAGTACAAATGCTCGTATTCATCGCACAAACATCTGCCCCCACCAGGATTCGAATCGGGTCCTCTCGAGTCGGCGACACCATGAAACCCGGCGTACAAATCACTCAGAGTGTCGGCCACGGAGGTCGTCAAATTGTAAGTACCTGTTTCCGATGTCATTACATGGGCAGGTACTTACGCAAAATAAATATGTATGAGTTACAAGATTGCTTAGGTAATTAAAATATTAAGATATGCTTGTAAACATTTTACTAGAATAAAATCCACTTAGTTTAGATTTTAGAAGGGAGTTGGACCGAGTGATTTTTTTTCTAGTAAATAATATTTAGATTTAAACATCCAGCAGTTAAATATTTATGATAAAATATTGTTTTATCTCTTTTTATTAAACCTGGTAGTTTAAATTTATGATTACACACACACACACACACATACACACAAACACACATACCAGTATTTAGTTTAATTTTATCTATACCTTTAAAAGAAAATGTTATTTTGTAATTATTTAGAGTTAAATAGAGTAGTTATTTAGTTACCTTAATGTATACCTAATATGTATGAGATCCTAAGGAGGAGCAGAACCGCCCAACACAAGCATCACTACATGCTTCCTGGTAGTTCTGGACACAGAATATTATTGTAAAATAAGGTTAACGAAATAAACTATTTTTATTTTTTTATTATTTTTTATGATTCTTCAACTTTATATAATTTAAATTCTAATAAGAAAAAATATATGACAATGTGCTATTGTTTGATACAGTTTATTTAAAAAATTTAGCAAAAACTTACATTATAACAAAACGAACTAAGTATGGCTTTAAGTAGTACTGAAGCCATTAATTGGCAGAATTACTTAATTTAAACAAGATACAGTTTACATTCATCAAATGAAATTGGAATTTGAATATTTATTGCTCTGAATTCTACAAATATTCAATAACTAAAATGTTAAAAGGGAATTCCCCAAGTTTCTGAATGTTATCAGTACGTACCCAAAGCTCTAAACAGCATCCCTACCGGACATAAGAATAAACTGGCTCCATCCGTAGACAATTTGACGATGGCGATATGATCACGAATCCAGAAATCAGAAATCGTTTTCAGAATTCAAATTGGATGTATAACACAAATATTTTGAATCGTCCAAAATTTTTTTCCCTACCACTCGTTATTGGACACATTTATTAGCTGCGGAGAAAAACGAGCGAAAAATACTCCACAACATTAAAAGTATTTGTAATGTAACAACAATTACAAACCCACAGTTGTTACAACGTCAATACAATCATGATTGATTTATATAGAAAACCTGTTATAATGATTGGAACAGTTCAAACCTAAGCATTTTTGTCTGTAATAAATCAGACACTTTGTTATAAGCTTTTTTAATAAGTGATTTTTTTTATATTATCCTTGAATTTATTTATAGTTAACTCTTGGATATTGCTTGGGACTTTATTGTATAAGCGAACACAAACCCTTTTAAATGAATTATTGATTATGTGAAGCCTAGTTAGTAGCAGGTAAAGTTAGTTTATTTTTGTTTCTTGTATTAAGTGTGTGAACATCACTTTTTTAAGAAACAAATCAATAATTTTTCTTACAAGTAATAAATTTTCGAATTTAAGTATATGTATTGTGATGCAACCGTCATTATACCAAATTCTTTAAACTTACATATCTCTTAAAGATTCTTTGACTTTAACATTATAAATTGATCGAAATCTGTCAAAGATCCAACAACAACTACAGAGAAACTATTCGTATGGCCATCGTCAAAGTTTCTTTGTGAAGAGCTAGTCTGTTCTTACGTCTGATAGGTTAAAATATAGAAATCCAACAGAAACTATGTCCTATAGAAATTTTGACATGGCGATAAGAATACGGATCATATCCAAGTTAATGCTTGGGGTATCCCCCCACGACAACGGTTAACTACAGCCTAGTCCGAGTCTCAGAGACGCCCTCTAGTTGAGCCGACCCCCTCAGGTATTAGTGGTCTAGAGGCTCCAGACGGAGCGGAGACTCCCCCCATGGGGAGATGCTATCCGCCTGGAATACCTCTAGAGGCACTCGCAATTCTCGCCGTCCCCAGACCCGGTGACGCTGTAAAGGTTATCTGCGACCAACAGCATACACACTCAAAAAATTTGGGGTACATGACAGCAGCAGGTTTCTTATCTCATTCTGATATATTTCCGTAAACCTAAAACTAAATTTGAAACAAAAGATAGGTATCAAATTTAGTTCTAAATGTTTATAAGAAATCACACTTGAAAAAGGTCCAATAGTTTGCTCAAATTTGAGCACTGCATTCATAAAAGTTAACTTTAACAAAACATGATTCGTATTACGTACGAACGTGATTAGTATTTTTAATTCAATGTTCAATTTCCATTTAATTTGACATAGGTATGTGTTTTTAAATGTATTGTTTCATTGCTATTATTATTTATTTTTTGTAAATTGTTGTATTGCTTTTTTTAATTTTAATATGGATCTCGTGTCTGAAATAAATGCTTTTATTATTATTATTATTTATTATTATTATTAAAATAATAAGTTTACTCCTCACCTATTATTAAGTATGTTATTTAACTGAGGCTCCATCATCGTTTTAATCTAGTCCTTGTGATAACCATAACACCGCACTTACTAGTCAGAAACACACAAAAACTTTTTAATCGAACCACTTTTTTGTAATCTACACACGATTTACGAAACAAGAAGTTTTCTTAAAAAATGGAACGCAACTTTTAAAAAGTTCGTAGTGACATGAAAAGGTGCACTGCATTTTTTGTTTTGTTCATTGAAAACTTTTTACGTTCCGCGAAGTTTTCTAGTTTAATAGGTCGCGTGTCGACGCGTGCGCGCTCGTCGAAAACTCGTATGTTTTTAGATAAAAATGTAAGTTGGAAAGTTTTTTTTAGGTGAAATGGCAAAAATATGCCCCACCCGGCCGCCCTCTGTGGATTCACGGAATGGGGGCCGGTGCATTGTCGCTAAGGGTACGTTCACAAGAAAGAGAGATCAAGAAAATGAATTAAATTTATTTCATACCACAGAACAACAGGTGACAATATTATTTATTTATTAGGACCACCAGAAAAAGTTACATTAAATCTTATTTTTAAACATTAAAGTGATACATACAAAATGCAAAATTCTATTGAAGGTAGCCACAACATGCATAAGAGACAGTACGAACGGACCGAATTTTAATTAAATAAACAAACAGAAA